TTGGCGATACACATTGTGTTTTTACCCTTTTCGACGCGGAAATCGCGTAGGCACGGGTTGAAAGCTTTAAAGCATCGAACTGCACAGTCAACGAGCAACATCTTGAGGGCACGGCTGTGTGAATTCTCGAGTTCTGAGGTTTGAGTACACTATACCGCTTGAGTAGTAGCGATGAGGTGTATTCTGTTCATGTTCTTCATGAGACAGTACGGATACACTCGTTACGTCATGGATGTAAATAGAAAACCAAATATGATTCGTTTTTACTTCACAGTGATGCATTCCTTCCTCCCCATCTCTTCCAATCCGTTCCTATTTCCACTCTTAGTGAGTGCTCCTAAACATCTTTCTCATAGTATGTTTTCCGCTGCAGTTATCACGATTTTATTCACGTCCGTTTTTTATTCGTGGTGTGTGCTGTTTTACGATGTGTATCGCGATTAATCCGTACTCTTCCGTACGTGACGTGTTTCAGCGGTCGCCATTGCTTACTGTTGTCGTTTGATGTTTTCTCTTTCACAGTCTCGAAACAATAGATCGAACCCATTTATCTCTCTTTCCAGATTGTTTTGCTTCCTACCGAGGGAAGGCTAAAACATACTGTCGACAACCGAAACTATGTGACTATTTTCACCATGGCCGCGTCACGACATTATCACGATTCCTCTTTTACTCTTTACGACTCGGATGGTGTGGTAAGTTCACGGAGTTGCACAGTTTTCGACATCAATCCCAAGCCCTTGTTTAGGTAGGCATGTTTTACCCGATCCGGTCCTTCACTCATTCATGTCTTTCTGACCCATGTCCTCGGAATAGGTATTGTGTATCGCTTTGCACTCGTCGTATTCCCGCAGGCAAAACTGGACTGTTGAAACTTGTCGGATCTCCGATTTGATCACACCAGTGCTTCTCATTTTCCTACAACTCGAGCGACCCAACCTAAGAATAATCTTTGTTCATTCCACGTATCCCGTTGCCCTGATCAGGTTCGTGCAGTGTCCAAAATTGAGCGTATCTCTCCGAGTGCAGTTCTGACAAAGAACCCGGATTCCGGATCTGATTTCAGTGCAGATGAGACTGCAAGTTCTGCCGAGACGTCGGATGAGAGTGAAGCCGAGACAGACGGAGACGATCGCAAGGACGGTGGTGAAGAGGGGGAGGACGAGGAGGAAGAGAAGGAACATCAACCGAAGGTTACCTCTGGTAGCGGTGGTGGTGGCTCCTTGGACATACCATCTTACACGCGCTATCGACGGTTCCTGGTAAGAACATTAGCCTGATAGACAATGGCGCAAACCAAATCATTTTTATTCCTGATCGATTCACTGTTCATTAGGAACAATACTTTTGTCCTGTTTTAAATCTCCTCTTCCATTCTCCTCTCATGTTTACCTGCAGGATGCCCATCCCACAAAACGAGTCAATCCATGCGTAAGTTCCGTTATGGTGCGATCGATGACCCGTCACTTTTTTCTGTCTCGTTTAGTGAGCAAGAAATACGGAAAATTGCTGTGATTTTATGCTTATTTGTACCCTCGTCTAGGTTTTTTCTCACAGTGCATACAATTTCAAAACGATGATTATTATCGTACAAGGTGGGGGAAATATGGAAACTAATCTGCACGCATTCTGAAAACTAAATGAGAGCAATCAATTGCACGTAAAGGTTATGGAGGGTTTGATTCAATTACATAGGGGGGAGGGGGGTTCGTCGTGCATAGAGTAAATAAAGCGTGAACTCAAAAGCCGGGAAGCATTGTACAGCTGTTTCGATCTGGTTGGGTCTTATCGGCAACATTGAACCAATCCATGGACCCAACTAGGAATCGCGAACTTGGGACTTGATAGGTAGAACGCAATCGTGCTACCCACTCGACCATCGGGCAGCTGATCAAACCGTTTTTCATGTCCCATTTACACAATGCATGCTTGCGTTCGGCCTGTGCGGTCCCGGGTTTGCGATCCCCAATTGGGTCGATGGACTGATTCGCTCACTGCTGTTGCTAAAACCCAACCAGGTCGAAACAGTTGTCCAGTGCTTCCTAGCTTTTCAGTTCACGCTTTATTTGATCCACACACGACGCATTCCCCCTATCAGCGGGTCACAATACCACTTCATCTGGAGATGATTTTGTTGTTTGTCGGCATCGGTGATCCAGACAAATATCAGTCTCGTAGTGTCAGCGGATGCCTGTCGGTTGATTTTACTTAATCATCTACTCGATTGCAAACAACTAGATTCTAATTTGCAATAATATGGAAAACATCTCGTTCCGATTTTTCTCTTATATCGATTGAACCCACTGGTTTTACACTCAACTAATGGCTGTCAAACGAGATACCGTATACACTTTGAAAGTCATCGAGGTCATGGTTTGCTCAGGATCGAATAAGCAAAAGATCTAGTTAGTATTCAGTCAAGGCGATACAGGGATTTATTGATCTAGGTTACAGCTCAGAGTTCTACTCGATGGACCGGCCTCAATGAACACTTCTAAAGCTATGGCTGAATTTCGCTCTGCGATGATCTTGCTTCCGATCTCCCAATCATGGGCATCTAATCGTCCATCGGAGATTATCCATGTCATGATTCTCAAGATTATAGTCGTTCATGAGACCTCTGGCTTTACTGCTGGTCAACAGAGTTTATCAATGGAACCAGGATTGATTTGCTGTTCGCATTTGACCCCGCTGACAAACGAGAGCTTTTGCTTTTAAACCATCGATTTTTTTGCGCTATTTCGCGCTGTGGGTGGTAAAACGTACAAAGTAGTCGATTTCTGTCGCTGTTTCAACTGCTAACAGAATGTCGTGTCTAAAATTGCAAGCATACTTTCCGATGACATTTCTCACAGTGTAAACTATCCTTTCAGTTTTGACTGTTGGTTGAGTGCGGTTTCTTATAGCGTATCAAAATGTTAGTCCAAGTTTTATTTCTTATGTAGACATAAACTGTACTTCACACACACACACACACACACACACACACACACACACACCTGAGTTCAGACTGTGCCAAACGAATCATAATACAATAATCATACTAAAAAAAGGAAGTGCCATGATTTGTTTGTGGGCGGAATACTGCTAGGTTACCCAGGCCAAGTCAGATGAAGTTTCCTGGGGAATTCACAACTGGAGCCTTTGGCTAATCGAAGGCTGACCTGCAAGTTAGAGGGGTGGTGTCCGAATACCGCAATCCTTGTAGGGCCGGTCTTTATTTCATCATATCATACACCCCGTGNCAAGGTCCCCAATACACCTGGATGCCCAATCGAGCCGGTGACCACTGCCCCGACCAGGTCGCGGGTTGTTTACCTCCTCATGGTTGGTTTGGAATCAAGGTTTTTAGCTAACTCCCCTGGGTGAACTACCACTGGTTCAACAACACGGATATCGGCTTTTCGTTCTCTCACTTTGATAGGAAAGCACTTCCGCCACGAGGAGGCAGTGAGTAAGGCTTCCTGAGCAGAGGCTATGTGAGACGCCTGGTCGTATGGGAGCATTCTGCGAGGTGTAAGGAAATGATGACCAACCACAACTTGATACACGCACCCCCTGACCATGGTTTTCGGAGGTGTGAATATAAACTCGCTGATACGGTGCATGAGAATTGTGCTTAGTTTAAGTTAAAAAATCGTGGGTAGTTCCAATTGTATTGAGCGGTTTTGTCTGATTTTTCAGAAAACGAACTAATACACTATTGTCGCGTTCGCCTTCGGTTTCTTTCAAAATCACGATTGATCTGGACACTTGTTGGCTGCCTTTAGTTTTCCTGTTGTACATATGATTTGATCAATTTACTACAGAGTCAGAATAGTACTCGGTTGTCTATTTTATTATTCTTGTTATTATTTTCTTCCGTGTCCCCAGTCGTGCCCGTTGATGTGAGCACAAGCGAGAGCCTGTTTCACGTGTTTCGGAAATATCAATGCGAAGGTTCCAGAGAATACCGTCAACCCTCACCCCGATCCAACGCACTCATTCATAGATATATAATTGATACCTGTGTCACCCATCACTCTTGCTAGTGTATCTTCGTGATATTTTTCTTTCTCATATTTTTTGCTGCTTATTTGCCGTGTATGTTTGGACAGTCAATCTTTTCCAAACTGTTCCGATTTCACAGCTGTTTAGACATTCAATTATTCTTCTTTCTCTCTCTCCAATTTTCCGATTTCTATACCTATACGTACTGTTCCCGTCCCCCAATTGCAATTTCCTTGAACCGTGTGCCCCACTTTTTGTACTGTTCATCTTGTCCCCGGTTGTTTGCGCGCCATCTTTTTCACCGTGGATTCGTTTGTCCGTTTTGCTTTGCTTTGCTTTACTCTACTCACTCACTGTTTCAACCACACACACACACACACACACACACATATATATACAGTCATTTCTTATCGGTACCCGCATTTGATCCCGTATAGCTTCTTTTCTATTCTCATGTAACATGCTTTCCACCAGTTGTGCACTGACACACACACACACACACAAACTACTATGTGCAATGATGATCATCATTATTATTAGAACTATTGTTGTTCACTTCTTCACAATGCCCATTCGCATTGTCCTGTTTCGGAGTAACCAAACAATATAATTTGTATTTTCAATAATATTCTCGCGCTCTCCCTTTGTGTGTGTGTGTGCTTGATGGCTCGCTGACGAAATCGTTTGCCTGCTCGAATGTATGGAGGATGCACAAAGAGCGCTTGACAGATTAGCAAATTCTGTCGTTCTGTTCGGCATATGCTTTACACCTTCAATGTGCAAAGTGATGCTACAAGACTGGGTGTTGCCGAGTTCGGTTTTGCAACTGGACAGTCAGGAATTAGCTGAAGTTGACTGCTTCTCGTGCTTAGGTAGCTGCGTGACCAAAGACGGTAACGCATCGAAGGAGATAACCGCCCGCATTTTCAAGGCTCGGACAGCGTACGCAGGACTGAAACACCTGTGGCGGTGACGTGATGTTTCATTGAAGTTGAAAGTCGCGTATACTGCGCCATTGTACGATCAGTTCTGCTTTACGGCTGTGAGACCTTGAATTTGCAGGTAGAAGATATCCGTCGCCTAATGATTTTCGATAATCGATACTTCCGTAGTCTGGCCCAAGTGGGATGGAGTGAGCGGGTTAGTTAGTCGTTGAGTGTTTGGGAATGCATCGAACAAGAACTCTCTATCGCATCGAATCCAGCTCAATAGGCTCCGTCCGTCAGGAAACGTTTTGCGCCTACCGCAGCGCGCCTTGTTTGCAGTGGTTGTTGCGGGTTGGAGAAGGCCACGTGAAGGCCAGCAGATGCCATGGAGACGAGGCATGAAGAAATGCACAGAGCGATCAGGTAGAGTAGGTGTCTCTCATCCTCCGGATTGGGGTTCAAAAGACTCCGAAACTGCATGGTTGGAGACACAGAAGGTCATGGTTGCGAACCGACAGCAATGGTGATTTTGCTGTCACTGCTTATCAGACCAGAATGCTTGAAATAATATGTATGCACAGTTGTACTGTCTACTCTGTGTGTTGACCATAGCGGTTCGCTTTCTTTTCTCGTTTCTAAATATAAGTCCAATCTCTGTCCTCCTTACACATTCTCACTTATCTTGTATGCAATATGAGTTTGGTAGCGATCAGTGAAGTTCGCTTCACTATATTACGCTGTACAATGATGATGGTTTTCCTGCCTATTATTTTACTACACAGCCTGATTGGACCCCATAGTTACGGGGACCTACGGTTCACTGTACCGGTTACGTAAACCGTGGGGATCAAACGAACGAACGAACGAATAAATGAACCCAAGTTCCCGTTGTGATGGGTGTGGTTTTGAGCCGACTGATTGTAAATCTGTGTACCACTCAAATTGAATGGGTCTTGGTGCTCTACTCCCCCCCTCCCCTCCCCTCCCCCTCAGTCGGGGATTCAAAGCACGTGGGTGTCAGTTGCACGATCACCATTTATTGTGGCTACTGAACCTTTTCTCGGTTATTCGATTTTAATCCTTTATTCTTACTCACGAACACATGACGGACAAATGTTTCAGCTCGTAATAAATTTGTTTGATTTTTGACCATTGAGCAAAATTGAATCTGAAACTGCTCGATTCTTTTTCGGAAATGGTTCCGACATCTTTAAAAGTGGCCCGGAACAAAGTCGACTTTAGCCATTCACGATAGGAGGCACAATTAATTTGAAGAACTTGATTTCAGACTTTAATCATCAGTCGAGCAGACTGTGATCGACTAAGTAACATCGAGTTTTTTCCTGGTTTTCACAAACAGAACACTAATCCACCCCGGTATAGTGTACACTCCTGCCCGATCACCACCAATGTGTGCATTGGAAAAAGCCAACCCTGTACGTAACATAACACAATGCGGTCTTTCACTATAGAATATCGAGCTCACTTTTATCTCACGATATCCCTCGGTACACCGCTTCAAATATGTACACGGCAAGTTTCACTGCCGCAGATTGCGTCAGAGACCCTGTTCGTAGTCTGTTTTTTTCTGCCCCGAGA